TCGAAATTTATTTCGAGGACTTCAGATATCTATCCCATAATAGAAATACGATTGTCTGGTAAATTTTGGATTCCGGTGCCTTAGCAAAGTATGTACGTTACAGGAGTTATTTCGTCAAGTCCCCTACACCAAAGTTGTTTCTGGGGTTCCACTGCGGAGCAGACAGGCTCCCGTCAAAAATGAGACGGTGAATTAAGGCTGGTGGGTGGGGGTTTGGTGTTGGACAGCAATCTAATTACCCTCACGCGCCACCAGATAAGAACCCAGCGGCGGCTGAAAGATGCACGTGCCAGGTCTCGGCACAGCTGGGGGAAGCTTAAAGCAGGGGACGCATCCCTTCCACGTGCACCCGGAGCTCCAGGCCCGAAGTGCGGCGGGCGCGCAGCCTCGCTCGCGGCGGCCTGGTGGAATGGCCAGCGCTCAGCCCCTTTCTGGCCGCCTGACCTAGGGTGGGAGGCTGGGCCCGCAAGACCTAGCAGAACTAACCCAGCCGACCGAGAGGCTCACGATACGCCGCGACGCGCCTCGGGGGCGGGGCTTTGACGTGGGCACCCCGGGGGTGGGGCCGGAAGGCCACGCCAGGATGGGCGCGGTCTCCGGAGATGGAGGAGGCAGCACCCCGACTCCTATCAATGCGGCCTCTCTGGGAAAGAGCACAGTGTAAAACCCTGTTTCCCTACCTGTCGGCGGGAGAAGAGAGCAGTCCCCGGCTGCAGTACTCGGGAGCCACAACGTTGGCACAGCACCGCCTTCCGGTTTCGGCCCTCGGCTGACACTAACTCGTTCAGCGGATCTGCTTGTTCCATTGCCGCTACCGCCACAGCCTCCTCGCCCACAACCGCGCAGGCGCTGCCTCTGCGGGCTTTTTCTTAACTGCGCTGGCGCGGCTTGATAGGGGCGGGGCGGGGAGTGGAGGACCACTCCCTCTTCGAGCAGGCGTCCGCTTCCCGCACCGGACTCTACTGCGCAAGCGCCTCATTCATTGCCTGAGTGGCAAGGTGTCGACAGGCTTTGTGACACGGTCACTGCCTGGCGCCAGTGACAAATCTCCATACTTACCTGGTCACTGGCCTTCTCCTAATGTTAAGACTTAAACAGCACATCCTACAAGGGTACGTGTTAAATTTATTAAGTGTAGAATATAAATGTTTTAACACAATAACTAAGAAAATGCGGTTAAGGCTATGTTAATCAGTTTGATGAAAATATTTCAAATGGTATATAAAACCAGCACATTGTACCTCATGATTCCATTAATGTACACAGCTATGATTTAATTAAAAAAAAAAAAAAGACCTAAACAAGTTATTAAGGTTGACCTCGCTCTTTAGTTTTCTGAGATTTGAATATAGTCTCCTGAATGAATTGGGGACATCCTTGGGGGGAATATGAAGGGAATCTGGGTTATAATCCCCATCAGATTATAACTACTTAGCTTCTTCTAATTAAAGGGGCATGTGCTTTTTTGGTGTTGGAAAAACACTCCTGGAAGCTGGTCTCTGTTCTAATCATGGTGACTATTTATGATGCGACAAAACATTGAGGAGGGGTGGGGGAGAGCTTTCAGAAATTTATTACGTTGGCAGGGCCCGGTGGCTCACACTTACAATCTCAGCACTTTGGAGAGCTGAGGCAAGAGGATTGCGTGAGGACAAGAATGCAATGTTGCAGTGAGATATGCTCGCGCCACTGTCCTCCCTCCTGGGAGACATAGCAGGACATTGTCTACAAAAAAGGCAACAGGGGAAAGAAACCCTTACTAAATCATCACAATTTCTTTATGGGGTTGTGGGACTGGCACTCTTCAGTACACAAAACTAAGATGGTAAAGATCAAAAAGGTAACTTTCCATGGTCCACAGATTCAGGCACAGCTGTAAAGCCACTGCTCTTAATCATCAGTACTTAACTATATAGTATTTATCTATGAACAAATGTGAGAACAAATTTAGGACTGGTTAGTAGACTAAATTTGTGGCTGAACCACATTATGCCTGGGGAAAGAAGCAGTAGTATAGGTAGTTAAGATTAGACAGGTAGGCTCGGCACCTATAGCTCAACTGGCTAAGGCGCCAGCCACGTACACCTAAGGTGGCAGGTTCGAATCCCCAGCCTGGACCCGCC